ACCAATTAACAGGACATACCAGCCAATGGGACATCCCAACTACCTGGACGTACCAGCCAATGGGACGTACCAACTAACTGGACGTACCAATTAACAGGACATACCAGCCAATGGGACATCCCAACTACCTGGACGTACCAGCCAATGGGACGTACCAACTAACTGGATGTACCAATTAACAGGACATACCAGCCAATGGGACATACCAACTAACTGGACGTACCAGCCAATGGGACGTACCAACTAACTGGACGTACCAACTAACAGGACGTACCAGCCAATGGGACGTACCAACTAACTGGACGTACCAACTAACAGGACGTACCAGCCAATGGGACGTACCAACTAACAAGACGTACCAGCCAATGGGACGTACCAAATAACAAGACGTACCAACTAACAGGACGTACCAGCCAATGGGACGTACCAACTAACTGGACATACCAACTAACAGGACGTACCAGCCAATGGGACGTACCAACTAACAAGACGTACCAGCCAATGGAACATACCAACTAACAGGACGTATCAGGCAATGGGACGTACCACCCAACGGGACATAGCTACTGATAGCATGTTTCATCTTACAGGATGTGTTCCTGTGTTAACAGCTTCTCTTTGTATGTTACATGCGACACATTTATAGGGCCTCGCCCAGGAGCAGGGACATTGTGCTTGGAGAGTGTATAGAAAGGACCACCCTCATTTTACTAGGGACATCATGAAATTGACACCAAAATGACCTCATCCCGCTGAATTAAGTTCGCCTTTTTTATACCAAAGAACAGAAAAAAGTCCTGAAACATATTTACAATCATTAATATTTTTTATATATGTTGTTATTCTTTCTCCTTCTGCAGTAATAAACTTTTACAGTAAATGCATAAAAAATAAATGGGTGTTTAACTCATCTATATATTTTTTTTAATCTTGTAAATCTAGCCTAATAACTTCAGGTACTAGTTCAGCAATAACTGCTGTGTATAATAGGAAGCTGTACAGCTGCACATTTTCCATAAATAAATACACTGTATATACACAGTGCAGGCATAATCTTTTCCTGTTCGTTTGTCACATGACCGTACCTCTAAGCCCCAGGCGTGTCACTGGCCAAACAGACTCCTTACCGATGACGAGGATGACTTTGGGCCGCGGCTTGGATGGATCAAACACCTCATACTCCTCAATGAGCTCGGCGGTCTCGGACAGGTCGGAGTCACTCTCAATGGAGAACTGGTGGATGGGGGGCAGCCGGTCGTAGCGGCGGTAGGGGAAGCTGGGGCTGTCCGGCAGCACTGAAACACCAACACTGACCAATCACATGGGGAAACTCTCCCGATGAAGCAGGGGGACTGACTAATCACACCAGGGATCTCTCCAGATAAGGGGGCATGGGCAGACTGACCAATCACACTGTGATTCTCTCCCGATAAAGGGGGGGGACGGGGACGGCAGACTGACCAATCACACAATGAATCTCTCCTAATGAGGGGGGGGGGGGGCACACTGACCAATCAATGAGCCTCTCCCCATAATGAAAGGCAGATATCACTGGGACCTGTTACATTATTTTTGCATTTTGTTTATTAGAGTTTATCAAAGCAGCACATATTTCTGAGAAATCAGGGTCAGCCAGTCCCTGGAGCAGCTGCAGATTGAGGGCCTCACTCAGGGGCCCAATGGTGACATCACTCTGCCGACCCCAGATTTATACTGATAACATTCCACTCACACGCACAGCACCCTAACCACTGAACCACACACATCGGTGGCCTGGAGTTGGTGGCTTATTTTTGGAAAGTGAAAATTGGCCGGGTGACATCTCAGCTGCTTTGCATAATGTTTCCATAAATCCTCACTTCACTGGAGATGGCTGAGATATCCCAGCCATTTTGCATCCACCTTTGATTACAGAAGCGCAGTGACATTGTTTGCTGGCCCCTGTCTGCGTGCGAGCTCTCTACACTTGTTTTCAGTATCATTGATATTTTCAGTATCAGAGATTATTTCCTGGTTTCCAAAATTACCATTAAATATCAGAAGGTTTTCAGTGAAGCATAAATTCACCAGGATTGTCTAGGTCTGCTGACGTGTTCAAAGTATGTAGTGTAAGTTCCCCTCTGGACACTAATTTCTGAAGCGCAGCCTCATCTGTCCTCTTATAACCAGCAATTATAATGAAAAAATTCTGATAATTTCTGTAATGTGTAGCTATTTTCCACTAAAAGTCTGAATTTTGACCAAATGACCAGGAGATGCTTAAGCAGATCACAAACAAAACAACTTCCCAGTGTCACCAGCAAGGTTCAGTCTTCGTACCATTCCTGAAGAAGGACCTCCTGGACTGGCCTCCATTCAGTGGAGGGAGAGATTTCTTCTCTTGGCCCACAAATGTGTCCCACCGGACCTTCTCTGTCCCTCCCAGCTCCCTGACCTTCTTCAGACAGTTCTCCAGATACTCAACTGGGTCATCGGGCCGGTAGTACATCAGGCCAGTAAGGAGGCTCTGGAATACAGCACGTTTGTTTGATCGGATTCACACTCCAGGAAATGAGAATACAGAAAGTGGTTAATATTATAGGATTCTTGCACATATATCAGTCACTAAAAGAAGAAAGCAACAATAACTAAAATAATCACAACAGAAATTGAATTCAAGTGCACCTTAGATTTAAAATAAAAATAGCTGGTACCCGGAACCACAAAAATTCCTGCGTTTCTGTGTGTGAAGTATTTACTCCAGTCTATTGAAGCTTACCATTGTTTGCACTTTACTTAATGGTTGTTTATAACTGTGACAAACATGGAGCTGGCTTGCTCTGTCTCGCTCTGCCTTGGACTCACTCTTCCTATGTGTGTCTCACTTTGGCTCTGTCTCACTCTGCCTCTGTCTTGCTCTGCCTGTTTCAGTCTGTCTTTGTCTTGCTCGGTTTCTGTCTCACTCTGCCTCTGTCTTGCTCTGCTTGTTTCAGTCTGTCTTTGTCTTGCTCGGTCTCTGTGTCACTCTGCCTCTGTCTTGCTCTGCCTGTCTCAGTCTGTCTTTGTCTTGCTCTGTCTCTGTGTCACTCTGCCTCTGACTTGCTCTGCTTCTGTCTTGCTCTGCCTGTCTCACTCTGTTTTTGTCTTGCTCTGCCTGTCTTGTTCTGTCTTTGTCTTGCTCGGTCTCTGTGTCACTCTGTCTCTGTCTCGCTTTGCCTGTCTTTAGCTTGGATTGTTTACTTCCCCCAAAGGCATCTGTCTCACGACTTCCTCTACACTGTGAAACTTTACACGCAGGTGTAAACACATTGTGTTTGCTGAGGAGTCTCCCGACAATGTGCTCCCAAAAGACAAAGATTTCCTGCACCCACCCTTCCAGAGAAAAGCTCGCTGAGCCAAAAAGCACAATGTCTTCCTCAGTGTGGAAAATGGCAGCCAAATAACCGATGATGAATTATGGGTCCGTATTTATTAATCTATTTAGACAAGGAAATGATAACAATGAGCTGGCCTTTGTAACAAAACCAAAGGCAGTATTTTTTGGATTAGCGATGACATTATAAATTTTAGATGGGGGGTTAATTCTTTACTTTGCACCTGTTGACTCCAGAGGCAGGAAGGCTGGGGGTGTCAAAAATGCTACACAGCACCACCATATAAAATTATGTAAAGGACTTGAACACTTGGTCTTTTCCAAAAACATAGTTGATAATATAAATTTCAAATGACAACTCTGTACAATGTAAAATGTTCGTTTTCGTTCCCAGAATATGCACGCCATACACCCGGATAAACGTAGAAATGTGCGGTCATACTGCAACATTTTCCGTGTTTTTCATTCATACACAACTTAGTTTCTGTCACTTCGTCGATAGGTGAGCTGCCCCTTGTTATCATGTTTCATTATTCCTATTTGCATAAGATAGAGGGCACGCGGAGATGACCGACCACCCACAGGCGGACATGGGACCGGGTCACTGTCCATCTGCCGGCTGTTTTCTTTAACATCTCAAACGCTTTGTATCATTTATCTCTTCAAGCTGAGATACGTTAATAATTCATTGGCTTTTATGAAATCAATTCATGTGAAAGATAATGAACACTAACATAACGAAGGTGTAAATGCTCTTTTATCTTCGGGATCCTTAGATACGCCTGAGTCTGATGGACACGCTTATGTATAATATGTTACATGCTACAGTCATCTATTAAACGTCATATTAAAATGTAGGTGTAAGTAGGTCAATTTACGGAAATGGCTTCACAATAATCAAGTTCACCTCATAGACATCATTTCATATTTACTGACACGCAAGGACTAGTAATTACAGATTACTTAATCATAATCATATAGTAAACAAGAATGCCTGTAGTACTTCCAAAAAACAATTATAATAAATTAGTTAACGTGCCTGTTGGTTCTTTAAAATTAAATTAATTATGGAAATAAATATTGTGAATCACAAAAAAGAAAGCAACTGTTTACCTTCGCATGTACATATATTTAATTTTGGTCTATTGTGCCATGTTGATGTATAATCTCGGAATAGATAGCCCGTTTACAAGTAATTCAGTACTGCTGAATATAATATAATATAGCCTATATGTGACACATGCATAATGTTTCCCTTCATGTAACATCAGTGAGGAGCAGCTCAGGACCAGCCGCGTCCACAGGAGTGACAGTGGTGCCCATCGGAGACAGGTGCATGCATCCCACCTCAAACAGCTGAGGGATCTCTCTCCTGGCCAAATACTCCTTAGCATCTCCGGTATTCATGGCTTCAGGTCCCGGTGGTGAAGCAGCTCCCGTCTTGCCTGTGGCTACTGCTGATGCGGCTTCACGGACTGACCGCCGCTCCGCAGCTCACAGCATTTTTCTGGTGGGTGGACTGTCTGTGAGTCCCGGAGCAAACGTGCCCTCCTTAGCGCCCGGCAGCCTATTGATTTCCTGCTGACATGCCGCTCGTCAGACAGCCCCTCCATTCATATTCATGCGGCTGCTATTTAAAGATCCGAAGCGTCCTCCGCCTCAGTCCGGCGGGCTGGATGGAGACACCGTGCGATCGGCGTCAAGAAGACTTAAATTGCACACGATAACAGACACCGAGCTAAATGACATGAATTTTACCCGTGCCTAAACTTGCACATGAATGAATGTGTAGCAATTTTCCCACAAGTGTAAAGGAGATCACAGATTAGGCTATCTCTGTGATCAGGTGATCATAGAAATCAGTGATCCAAACAACATATACACCATCCCGAATGTCGTTATCATTCAGCACATACGATACTTTAAAATGAGAGATGCGCAATACCCAAGCAAATCTTCATAGCAACAATTTAATGTGACAGTTGCACTTTTTCTTTCAAAGTTTTATGCTACATATGAGGGATATATAACGCTTATTTTCTATGACCTTGTTTATTTTATCGTCAAAAACAGCCATTCCTTAGGGCGTATGCAAGTAATGAATAATAACACTTTGATGATCATTTGAAACAGTAATTCTGACGTTTTACACTCTCTACTACTCCCTGCTGGTAAATGCTGAACAAAACATGAAGGAGAAGAAATTATTGTAACTAGGACTTTTACGTTTATGATCAACGCCTGTAGAAATGTAATAATAAATGTATTTTTATTTGATAGTATTTAAGAGTATTTAAACAAAAACTTTACCATTCTGACAATCACGTAGGCTACACATGACAAGCACTCAAGCAGTAATGCTGCAGCAGCCCGGATAGATATGCGGACGGAGGCGGCGCAGCCCGGACCGTAATCGGTGCGACACCGGTAGTTAGGTCACTTCCGCGTCGTCGTAAAGATGGTGGCTAGTCAGTACTTGTTCTACTGTCTCATTGTACTGTTTAATGGTTTACTTTTGTGCCTTCAACCCGCCAGTAGTAACGACATAGAGGTAAATATGTATCTTTAAAGGTGTTAGGTCATTTTGTTCGTCTGCCGATATTCTGGTTAACCTTTGTTGTTTTGCTGTACAAACACGCCTATCAATGATGTGGATTCTGCAGGTCATTTAATTCACTCTTTTGTATTTTGCAAGCGTGCGATTTTATTTCTGAAATGCCCTGGATTCCGTCACATTGTGTTAATTTCCACCCCGCAGTCGCCTAAACGGTGAGGCTTTATATTTTATTCATGTAACATGGCACTCCCTTCAGGCGTCTCTGCTGTTTTTTCTTTTAGGGAAAAGCAGGTCAGTTCTTCAGCAGCGGCCACACGAACAACTGGGCTGTTCTGGTAAGTCAGTTTGTTTGCATGTATGTGTTAATGAAGGGGAAATTGTCGATCTGGATTAGTGTAACGATGAAGGCGAACGCCTACAGTGAACAGGGTGGTGTCAAACAAATTGACAGATCTTAGTGGCCAGTAGAGCCAGACGCACGGAGGCTCTAATGGCGGCACATGGCAGCCTGAAGTTTTAACTGGAAAACCTTGGCGAATGTGCCACCGGGTTCTTGGTGTGTAAACTGTAAACAAGTGTGCAATTTAACTCTTAATATCTTAAATAAGTAACAGAAGAGGTAACAAGTTCTGGAACCCCCCAGATTCTGCACTCGTACACATACACATGTTTGCAGTATGAGTGTCTATGTACCTGTGTGTATGTACACCCCCATCAAAAGGCCCTTTGTTTAGCGTTGCCACCCCTTCTTCCTCCAGGTTTGCACCTCCAGATTCTGGTTTAACTACAGGCATGTGGCCAACACCCTCTCAGTGTACAGAAGTGTCAAGAGACTGGGAATTCCAGACAGGTACATTTTAAAATTTGCAGTGTTTATTGATGGGCAGTGTGTAAGCAGGCCTGGACTGGCCATCTGGCATTCCGGGCTTTTTCCTGATGGACTGATGAGACCTTTTCCCTCACTTGGTCAAATTAATTGTGATCATAATCAGTTTCATCCTTGCTGTTGGACTCACCAAGAGACAGTGTGGCGCGTTTGTGAGCAATTTAGCAACAGTGGTTGACGATGAGAAAAGCGAACAAGAGCTGGTCACCAAAAGACAGTTCCACTGTACAGAAATATTTTAGGTTAAACTGAGACGATATTGAGCAAAAGCAAGTGATTTGTCTCTATTGGCATAACTAACGGAAAACTTATTTGACGGACTCTATCGTCAGATAACTGGTTCTGTTTGGTTATATTTGGTTTTATTTTAGGTAATCTATTTTCCACTCCTATTTAATGAGTATTGCAATATTTATCACAAGTTGTATATCGCAATGTGATTTTTCCAATAATTTGCAGCCCTAAATGCATTTAGTATTGTAAGCCCTGTGCTGGATAGCAGAGTGTTCCCCCGTTACGGCAGGCCACTGGAGCAGAGTGTTCCCCCGTTACGGCAGGCCACTGGAGCAGAGTGTTCCCCCGTT